ACCCCCCAAATAAAAACATTTTAAAAAATCACAGCCTGCTGGAGAAGGTGTCAGGTGTGAGGCAGTGTGAGAGAATAGGTTGGATGAAGTAGATGACTGCTGGACATGAACTTCAGGGTGGGACCCAGATTAATGGCTGCTTAACTGCATACTTAACTGCATAGTTGAGACTGGGACACTGGCTATACTTAACATGGATTTGGTCTTGGTCTGGAGGCCAGTGGGGGGTCCCCTGTGGATTGATCTTGGTCAGGCAAGAAAGAGAATGAGAGATGGACAAAGGAAGCCAAGGCTTCTGGAAACATTTTACACAAGGAAAGTTTAAGGGTCTGGAATAGTCAAGAGTTAGTTCTGGGGCTAGTGGGATGAGGGATTCTGGGGTTCAGGTTGCCTGTAATGATTACTTGTCTTAGGAGAAGGTGCCTTTTGTCTTGGATACATTTAAAGTAGAGGCTAAGGCTTGGGTGTAGATTTGTGGTAATGCACTTGACTAAAGGAGAGGCTGTGTTTTTTTTCTGGAGAGGAGAGAATACGGGTATTTCTTAGGTCCCTGGATTCTATCTCTAGAATTTGATGTAGTTTCTTAGGAACAGTGCAGTTTGGTGTAGTATTCTCAACTTGATTCTAGACATTTTTCTCTTTCTGAGTTTTGGACTCTGTTGCCCCCCTCCCCGCCCCCAACTTGGTTATTTAATGTATACCCACATGTCTCAAGGAGGTTGGACAGTGAGTTTCCGGGGTTTGTCTGGTCCTATTGGGATGGCTGGAGTTAGGTGAGGACAGATGTTAAGTTCAAGGGCTCCAACAAACTCTGTTCCTCTCTTGACTATGAACAGCATCTCTTCACCTTATAGGCAGGTTCATCTCGGGTGTGTTTAAGGGGTTGCTGTGCTGGTTGGCTTTGTGAACTTGACACAAATCTAGACATATCTGGGAAGAGGCAATCTTAATTGAGAAAGTGCCTCAATCATAGTGGCCAGGCAAGTCCATGGACACATTTTCTTGATTAATGATTGACGTGGGAGGGCCCCACCCATTGTGGGCTGTGCCTTTCCTAGGTAGGTGATCCTGAATGGTGTGAGCATATAGGTTGAGCAAGCCAGTAAGCAGCATTCCTCCAGGGCTTCTGCTCCAGTCCCTGCCTTGTGTTTCTGCCCTGACCTCCCTCTGAATGATAAACCACAAACTATTAGATGTTAATAAACCCTTTCCTCTGGGTTGCCTTTGATTATGGCATTTTATCATAGCAACAGACATCTTAACTAAGACAGCTGGTATATTCAAGAGCCAGAGTGGGCTGCTGGGCAGGAGGGCAGGAAAGAAGCAAGAGGGTGGAGAAGGTACTGAAGATGAACTTTCAGCATCCCAGTCAAGCTGTGCTCAGAAGGGAGGGAAGATATGGGTAATGCAAGGAATGAATACATAATTTCAGGTATTATGGTTTGCAATAGGTAGGCATCTGCCCACACAAGGGTCTTGGTTTGGATTTCTGCTTCAAGCAGTCATTCATTGCTCTTCCCCTTAGTATAATTGGTTGGCTACTGACTAGCCATTGGTGCTAATTCCTGTTGATAGAAGCTGAGTGGTAATTATTACAGTGTTGAATGAACATATTGCTTTCCACATACTGCTCATTTATTCTGTGACCATCACAGTAACAAATGAGATAGGTTTGATATCATCTTCATTTATAGACTTATGGGAAACAGACATATAGAGATTATCAAGGCTAACCCAACTAGCAAATGGGTATTGAACTGTATCCCCTAGTTTATAACCACTGTGCTAAACACCAGGCATTGCACTTTACATGACTGTTCTAGAAATAATACGATATATGGACATGGACACATTTGTGTGATTTATCTCTTAATTTGATAATGCTTTAGCATTCACTCAATACTCTCTCTCTCATCTCCTCTTCCTAACCTTTCCCTCCCCCTTTCTCTTTCTCCCTTTTTGCTGTATGGTCTCATGTTGCACAGGCTGGTTTTGAACTTTATGACCTTAGACTCCTGACCCTTCTGCCTCCACCTCCTGAGTCCTGGGGTTGCAGTACGAGCACCTAGGATAAGTACACTGGAGATCAAATACAGGGCTTCATTTATGCTAGGTAAATACTCTACCAGTTGAGCTGCCTGATACTGGGGCTGGGAACCAAACTCTGCAAGAACAGAAAGTGTCATTAATCGATGAGCCAGTTCTCCAGCCATTGTTTTTCTTTCTCATTTTCCTTCTCTTATTTTCCTTCCTTTTCACTTCCCTTCACATTGTATGGGTCATATACTATCAGTATAACAAGGTTTGAAGGAGGCACATCTTGTAGAGTTGGCATTAGGAACAATGCTCTGTGTTAAAGTGTTAATCTGTTCAATGTATTTAACCCCTTAGGGGATACTTTCTCACTTCTGCTCTGCCTGTTATGTCTCTGACCTGCAGTCTTTCCATTTTTTTTTTTTAAGCAAACACTGCATCTGCTCAAGCAGGTCCTTAAATATTTGATTCCTGTTTCTTACACGAGTCTCTCTAGGTATTCAGGGACTCTTTGTTTCTTCATCTCTGCAAAGCAGTTCCTATGGTCTCTTTCCCATCTGAAATAATTGCTAACATCCTTTGTCTGCTCTCATCACCTGTTTTAAGATTTATACTTTTAGGTAGAGATGCAGTGGGACTCACTGACCAGCTAGCCTAGCCCACTTGATGAGGCAGTGAGAGATCCTTTGCCAACAAAACAAAACATGTAGACTATGCCTAAGGAATAAATACCAAGGTTGTCCTATGGCCTTCATGGATAGGTGCATACACATGCATGCTCATCTACAGACATACACACACCCCCCTCGACACATATGCAGAAAGATCTACACCTTTCTAATCTTTTATTTACTGTTTTGGTTTTTTGGAGGTGTAACAGGGTTGGGAGTATTTGAAATCCTCAGTGTTCACCCAGAAATTTTCCTTTTGTTTTCAAAAATATTCTTTTCTAATTCTTAGACTTCTATTTTCTTTTTCCTGCTTAAACTTCTTTCATTAAAATTCTAGGTCTCTTCTGTGATTGCTTGATTTAAAATATTATTTTAAAAAATATGAAAACACAGTCAGGGAGTGGTTGCACACTCCGTTAATCCCAGCACTCAGGAGGCAGAGGCAGGTAGACCTCTTTGAGTTCCAGGCCAGCCTGTTCTACAGAGCGAGTGACAGGACAGCTAGGGATACACAGAGAAACCCTGTCTCGAAAAACCAAAAAGAAAAAAAAAAAGGAAAAAACAAAAACATAATAAATTCAAATTTTCTGCAGTAAGTTGTGCATTTCAGTTTGGACATTGTCTTTGTCTGGCAAATGCTTTAGGAGAATGTTGCATAAGTGGGTTTCTTTTGAGGAGGCTAGACATAAGTTGTTTTTTTAAACATATAATAAAAAGTTCTTATATGTACATTTAGTACCACATCAGATAGTGTTTTTGGGTTTTTTTTTTTTTTTTGCTTCAGCAATTCCATATGGTTTAATTTATTTATTTGTACTTTATGTATTATTTCATGTCCATTGGTGTTTTGTCTGCACATATGTTTGTGTAAGGGTGTCAGGTCCCCTGGAACGGGAGTTACAGACAGTTGTGAGCTGCCATGTGGTGCTGGGAATTGAACCTAGGTCGTCTGGTAAAACAGCCAGTGCTCTTAACTGTAGAGCTCTCTTTCCATCCCCTAGACATAAGTTTTACTTTGAACTTTTATTCCATTATTCCATGATGGTCAGATAATATTTTTTGCGTTTTTATGGTCATGAGGTATTTATAGATATTCCATGGTTAATTTGATATCATTAATGGTTTGCTTTGTTTCTATGTTATCTTTGGTTTTATTTGTATTTATTGTTTGCCATTTGTTTGATAGACTCTCATTTAGTCTGGGCTGGCCTCGAATATGTTGTTTTTTGTTAGCAAAATAAAAGACAAAAGCAAGAAACATGATTAAGAGTATTTAGAAATCTCCTAGTTTTTGTTGGTCTCCTGCCTGGAGCAGCCTGAGGGCTAGGCTGTATTATCTGGGTAGGGATGAAGCCAAGACTAGGATGAAATTCTATGCTGGAACATTCTCCTTACTAGGCCACTCCTGAAATTACAGAGACACAGGCAGAAACTCAATATTCTGCATAGCCTTGAGTAGAAATTCTGTTTGATTTCAGGTCATATATCACCATTTGGTAAATTTAGATGTTTTAAGAGTTTTAGCTTCAAATATTTGTGTTGTTTATCTAAATAATAGGGGTCTGGCCATCCTGTTGGGACTTGGTTGTTATCTCCCTGATATCTTAAACACACTCATTTCTTCCCTAAAGGGAAAGAGATAGAGTAGCAGGCAGATGGGTTCCCCTCCCTTGTTTTGCTTTTAGAGCTGTAGCAAGTCACACATTTATAAGTATGTGTATGTCTGTACACCATGTGTGTATAGTACTCACAGAGGCCCAAAGATCAGAAGAGGGCATTGGATCCTGAGACTGGAGTTCCAAGTGGTTGTGAACCACTATATTAGTGGTAGGAATTGAACATGGGGCCTATGGAAAGGCGGTCAGTGCTCTTAAACCTCTGAGCTCTCTCTCCAGCCCCCACTTATATCGCTTTATCCAGCCAATAAAAATATGTTGTGCTGTAAAAATCATATTGAAAAAATGTCATAATACTCATCCTTGAGTGGTTCATTCATAGTTCCAAGAGAAGATTAGACATATTGAGAGATTAACATTATTATTTGGAGTATACATATTTTGTGGGAGATTAGAAGATGTACACCTTTCCTTTGGAGTGGGGGAGACTTTGGAGAGAATGAAGCATTTTGGCTGGCTCCTGAAAATAAGAGTGGGTACCCGACAAGTAGAGGGCATAGGCATTCCAGGTGAAGGGAGCATCATGGCTATGACGACAAGGATGATAGTAGATAGCATATAGTCAATTAGCAGTTGTCCCTTTTGCCTGGAAGGTACCCTACAGTTGGAGTTTGGGAACATGAAGCTGGAGGAGTTGATGAAGAGACAGATGGTGAATAGTGCTGATTGATAGAGGAATTTGCTTTATATTTTGTGGTCAGTAAGTCACTATTGAAAGTCTTAAGGATGAGATTTGAACTTGACCTGTTTTATTTTGGTATTCAAGTTTAGTCCATTGGGTAAACATTTCTCCCCTTTGACTTCCTGTTTCTGAAACCTGTGATTTCTGATTCAGATTTAGATGTTTGTGCCACTTGCCATGAACATGCCACATGCCAGCAAAAAGATGGGAAAAGGATCTGCATTTGCAACTATGGCTTTTGGGGCAACGGTAGGACACGGTGTGTTGGTAAGTTTCAGTGGTGGGTTAAGCTGAAAATTTGAATCAAAACCAAAGGTTCTTCAGTTTTTGAGTCAGTGTCCATGTAAGGCAAACGTTGTTATTTTGTTCACATGTTTTTCTTAAAGGGTTTTTGCCAGTTACAACAAAAATCTTGATTTTATTGTTTAGATATATCCTTTTTTTTGGTGTTTCCAAGGAAGAACCCCTCATGTTAGATGTCATTGACCTGAACTTTCTGAAACTCTTTGGCCTACACAGACTTCAAGTTTGTTTTATGTTCTGAGTTTAACTTAACAACAAAAGCAAATATTGCATTTCTTAATTTCTCAGGTTGTTTTGATATAGAACTATTTATCCTCATACCATGGAGGAAAACAAAGCCTTCTTTCCTATTGGGAGTTTTTGATTAATGGATAAGATGACTAACTGTATGTGCCTTATGTCTATCAGCACCTGTTCTCTGAATTTTTGTAGTTGTGACCCTTTGGGATGACTTCATGGACTACTTTAAGATGGCTTGAAGGTTGATTGAAGTAGATTCAACCAAGTTTTTTTTTTCCTCCTGGTGTCCATGCCAGGATAATCACAACATTGAGATTCAAGCACAATTCAGAGAGAATGTCACAACAATGTAATTATAATAAATGTGACAATGACTTCTCAGTTTCCTCCTTGCTATATGCTATAAAAGTTTTGCCTTCTAGCTGTGGACAGGCAGCATCTATACCCTTGTTATAATACCTTTGTGTTGATTTTTGAGTGTGAGTGTGATTTTTGTGTGTGATTTTTGTGTGTGAATGTGTGTGTGTGTGTGTTGTATGTGTCTTGTGTATGCCCATATATGTGTGTGTGGAGAGGTATGTGCAGAAGCTGGAGGAAGATGTTGGATGTTCTTTGTCACTGTCCACCTTGAGATAGAGTCTCCAATTCAACCTAGAGCTAGGCTGTCAGCCAAGAAGCTCCAGTCATCCATCCTCCAGTCATCCTCCATGGTCATGTCTTTCTTTCTTTCTTTCTTTCTTTCTTTCTTTCTTTCTTTCTTTCTTCCTTCCTTCCTTTCCTTTTTTTTTTTTTTTTTTTTTTGCACAGGGTCTCTCTACATATCCCTGGCTGTCCTGTAACTCACTACATAGACCATGCTGTAGATCACCTGTCTCTGCTCTCTGAGTGCTAGGATTAAAGGTGTACACCACCAGGTCTGGCCAGGCCTGGCTTCTTATGGAGATTCTGGCTGGGGCTTTGAACTTAGGTTCTCATGCTTGGGCATCAAATGCTTTTAACCTGATGAGCCATTCCCCTAGCCCTTTGTCTTTTTTATTTTTAAACTCTTTAAAGAAAAATAACAATTCAATCCTGCATTCAAATAGTCATATTCAAAGGTTGTGCCAGTCATATTCCATTTCATAGATAAATGAGGCCCTGTGCCACCATTGCCCATTCTGCAGGTGGACTTACACAGTCTGTCTCCCTCTAGAGGGCTCTTCCCATGAGATTGTGGCTGCTCTGTGGTGGTCAGGTTCCTTAGGGAATTTCTCCTTAAGGCAGTGGTTTCTCAACCTGTGGGTTGCGACCCTTTTGGGGGGTGGTCAAACAACCCTTTTTCAGGATTTGCTTAAGATCATTGGAAAACATACACATTTATGTTAGGATTCATAACAGTAGCAAAATTACAGTTGGGAAGTAGCAATGAAAATCATGTATGGTTGGGGGTCACCACAACATGAAGAACTGTGTTAAGGGTCGTGGCATTAGGAAGGGTGAGAACTGCTGTTGTAAGGGATTTTCTCCTCTCCTGGATGCTAGCTGTGCTCTTGTTTGCCCTTTGACTTCTAAGCAATAGGTGCATCTCTTAGGAGAGAGCTTCACGACTTTTCTGTATTTGTTCCACTGGCCACTGCCTGTCCTACTACCTGGACTGCTGTGTGCACAGGTTGTTAGTGAGGTTACCATGTGCCAAAGATACCATCATATGGCATTATGTCCAAGGACTTAAGACTTCTAGAACTTTCTACAAACCTAAGTAGCCCAATTGAAACCTTCAGGGGAACACTGTCTTAGTTTAAATGAGACATGTCCCCTCTAGGCTTGGGTATTTGGACACTTGGTCCCTAGTTGGTGCTGTTTGGCGAGGTGGTGCAGCCTTGCTGGAGGAGGTCTGTCATTGGGGGTGGGCTTTGAGAGTTCGTAGCTGTACCCCACTTCTAGTTTGTTCTCTCTGCTTCATGTTTGTGGTTGAAGATGCGAGCTCTCAGCTTCCTGCCCTGGCAGCCATGCCTGCTGTTTGCTGCCACGACTCTACACCTCTGGAACCATAAGCCTAAATAAACTGTTTCTTCTTCTAAGTTGCCTTGTCACAGTGTTTTATCGAAGGAGTAGGAAACTAACTAACACAGACATGTTCTGAGAAAGAACAACAAAGGGCAGGGCACAGGTTGTCTTGTTCCTGAAAGTTCTATGTAGCATTTGTCAGCTGGGCTGTGCACTTGACCTAGCTGTGGCTTGAATGTTCAGCCCCCCCTCCCCCCCATCTCTCAGGCAAATCTTAACACAGATAATCGTACCTGTAAGTTGTATGCTAGATTCAGTTGAAAAACTGAAAAGGTGCTGGTCATAGCAGCATATCCCTGTGCTGTGGAGGCCGAGGCTGGATGATTTGAAGTCTTAACGTTAGCTTGGGTTACATAGCAAGATCTTATCTCAAAAAAACAAACCTGTAACATTTTTGGTTTATTTTTTATTTGTGTGTACTGTGTATCTGAGTATGTTTGTATATTTGAGTGCAGTGATTGTAGAGACCAGAAGGAGGCATTGGATCCCCTAAAGCTGGAGTTACAGGTGGTTGTAAACTGCCTGACGTGGGTGCTGGGAACTGAACTATGGTCTCTACAAGAGCAGCAAGCACTCTTAACTGCAGAGCCATGTCTCCAGCTCTAACAATGTATTTTAAAAGGTCATATAAGAAAAGGGAAAAGGAGGGACTGTTGAAATGGTTTGATGGGTAAAGGTGCCTGATACCAAGCTTGATTACCTTGAGCTCAGTTCCTGGAACCCACACGGTGGAGGAAAGAACACATTCCTGCGAGTTGTCCTTTGACTTCCACATCCATGCTATGGTGGGAATGTGCCCACAAAGGCAGGCAGGCAGGTAGGCAGATAGACAGACAGACACACATTCAGATACATACATATGTAAATAAATAATTGTAATTTAAAAATAAGAGTGAAAATGAAAGAAATATCCAAAGGATTTTTTTGGGGGCGGGGAGGAGCATGTATTTTGGAAAGTTGAGTACAATTGTGAGAGACAAGCTAATTGGAGGGAGTCAACAGTGAAGTAAACATTAAATGACAAATAGAAAGACAAGTTACAGTTCATAGTCAATGACCCACTATCTATTTTTGCAAGAAGCATTTTATTGACACATGGCATTGCTTACCTGTTTGTGTATTAGTGTGTGTGTGTGTGGGGGGGGGTGGTTGTTGCTTTGCTTTTTGTTTTTTGTTTGTTTGTTTGTTTTTTGTTTGAGACAAGGTTTCTCTATATAGCCCTGTGTGGCCTGAAACTCATTATGCAGACTAGGCTGGCCTCAAATTCACAAAGATCTGCTTGCTTCTGCCTTCTGAGTGTTGGGATTAGAGGCGTACATTACTATAACCACAGTAGGTATATTCTATGGCAGCTTTCAAGGTCCATAAGCATGGGTGAGATGTAAAGAAAAAGTTTCCTGACCCCTACACTGTAAATCAGATGAAGAGAGTTTAACTTCATTTTATCCTTTCATTTTCTTTAATTAATGCCAACCGAGGCAGCCTCCAGCCACGCATGTGTGACCACCATGGTTCTACACTGTGTGACCACCATGGCGCACATAGAACACTGACGGCTGGTATGTTTCCTGCCCCTGTATGAGCCATGCTCCTAATTCTGTTGTGTTTTCTTGGAGATGACAATTCTAATTTTCCAGTTGAATCATTGGATATAAAATTCATCTTAGGAGCAGGAATGACTCGGTGGCTAAGAACATGTACTGCTCTTGCAGAGGACTTGGGTGTAGCAGGGTTTCTTTAGGGCCACCAACCAGCTCCCAAATCATGACACAGAGACATCTTATTAGTCATGAATGCATGGCCTTATCTTATGTTTGTCCCACTAGCTCTTATAACTTAATTTAACCTGTTTCTTTTCATCTACATTTTTGCCTTGGGGCTTTTTACCTTTCACAGAGATCTGCCTGCCTCTCAAGTGCTGGGATTAAAAGTGTGCACAACCACTGCCTGGCAAATCATTTGAAGTGGGAATGCCCATTTCTAATCCAGACCTTTTAAAATTTATATTTACTTTTTAAAAATATGCATTGGTTTTGCCACATAACTGGAGTTGTAGACATTGTGAGATGCCATGTTGGTGCTGGGGATTGAGCCTGGAAGAACATTCAATGCTCTTAACCACCAAGCATCTTTCTGGCCCCTTGTTCTCTCTTCTCTTTTTCTCTTTTTCTGAGCCTAGATTCCTCCTCCTACTTCTTCTGTCTGCCCCCCAGCCCCACCTATCTCTCTACTGTCTAGGTTTGGCTATTCGGCTTTTTATTAGACTTATTAGGTGCCTTAGGCAGGCAAGGTAAAGCAGGAGCACATCTATACATTTTAAAACAAATGCAGTATAAACAAATGTAACACTGTTTTAAATTAAATCAATTAACGTATGTGTGATATGTGTTTGTTCATGTGCATACATGTCTTTGTGTGTGTTCATGTGGGTGTGTTCATGTGGTGGTCTGAGGACAACCTCTGGTGTTGGGTCTTCCCCTTCTACCTTGTTAGTGACAGTGTCTCTTATTGCTTGCTGGTCAAGAAGCTTTTAGGGAATCTCCTGTCTCCATCTACTGATCCTCAATAGAAGTACTAGGATTATAGATGCATGCTGCCATCTGGCTTTATGTAGGTTGTAGGGGTTTGCAAATACTTTACTAAGACACTCCTGAATAAGACATATGGTGTGGATGGAGGCTTTTGTGTGAGTCTTTTCCATGTATCTATCTGCAGATAAAGATGAGTGCCAGTTTGGAGCCACTGTGATCTGTGGGAACCACACATCCTGCCACAACACACCTGGAGGGTTCTACTGCATTTGCCACAAAGGCTATCGAGCTACAAACAACAACAAGACATTTATTCCCAACGATGGCACTTTCTGTACAGGTACTACAGAGGGCTGTGGTGATGGCCATTTAGTGATGGCACAGCAGTTGATGGGTAGAGGGTAGAGTCATGGTGGAAAACCTTGAACTCAGACATAGACTAAGTAGTATTAGTCAGTATTAGAGAATTAGTGCTAATATCATATGTTGACTAGCTTTATGATAACTTGTCACAAGTTAAAGTCATTTGAGAAGAGGAAACCTCAACTGAAAAAATGCCTCCATAAGACTGGCCTATAGGCAAACCTGTCAGGCATTTTTTTGATTAATGATTGATGTGGGAGGGACCAGCACACTGTGGATGGTGCCACCTCTGGGCTGGTGGTCCAGGTTGTTATAAGAAAGCAGGCTGAGCAAGCCACGAAGAGCAAGCCAACAAGCAGCATTCCTCCATGACTTCTGCTTCAGTTCCTGCCTCCAGGTTCCTGTCCTGACTTCTCTCAGTGAGAGGTGTGGCCTGAGAGTTATAAGATAAAATAAACCCTTTCCTTCCCAAGTTGTTTGTGGCCATGCTGTTTTATCACAGCAATAGAGACCCCAACAAAGACAAATGTAACACACCTTTACATAGTTAAATATTATCCTACAACACCTGGGCTTGGTTCCCAGCTTCTTTATCTGATGGCTCATAACACTTGTAATTTTAGTTCCGGATATCAGATGTCTCTGCCTCCCAGGGCACCTTTGCTTGTTGACATAACACATAGCTAGCCAACACATACTATTTGCACTAATTCTCTAATACTGAAAAGACCAAGAACATGATCAGTATTAGAGAACTATTTTGTGTTATGATTTCTGTGAGATGTTTTAAATGATAAAATGTAAAAAGCAATTGAATAATTTATGGTATTCATAAATTATTTATGAATTATTTATGATATTCATAAATGAGGGTGGTCACCTGGTAATTGATTGCACTTTTTTCTAGTTTTATGTTAAAACATTTAAAATGTATTATGTGTGTTTATGAGTATGTGTGTTTGTGTGTGCATGTATGATGTGTGTGTATATGTGGTGTGTTTATGTGTGTGTGTGTGTGGGGGCGGGTGTTGTGGTCAGAGATCTACCTTCAGGAGTTATGTTCTTTCACTGCTGGTCCTGGGGATTGAACTCAGGTTATTAGTCTTGAGCAGTAGGCTCTCATAGCCACTGAGCCATCTTGTCTGCCCGTATTTAAACCTTTTTACAATGAAAAATAAGGCTGTCCTTTCTGGAGACATTGTGTCAGCTTACATGTTCCTGTAACCAAGCACAATATCCACTAAGCACAGAGGGTTTCTGTGCCTCAGAGGAGGGCTAAGCATTGTCGTGAAGGGGGCTTGATGCCAAAGGACTTAAGGGAGTGAGGAATGTGACTTTTGGCGACAAGTAACCTTGTCAGTGAGATTCCTGGGCATATGTTGGTTGAATGGAAGCCACAAAGAAGCCTTCCTGATGTTCATGACTCCGGTGAGCTCTGTTTTTAGGTAGCATATCCTGTTAATACAGCTCTTCGGCTTTCTCAGGTCCCTGAACGGTAACAAAGCAGAGAGGGCAGAAACTCCTCCTGGTTCAGAGATGCTTGGCACAGACTCTACGACTGCTTAAAAGCTTTGTGGCATTTCAAGGTTTGCAGGAAGAAAGGAGAGTAGAGTTTAATCTTTCTATGGTAGGAACCGCAGCTTCTGGCCTTTGCCATTCTGCTTGACCTGTGCCAAGATGAAATTCCTGGAAGGATATATTCGTACACTGAGCTTTTTCTTAGCAAGAATGAGTATATTGTCTCAGAGAACACATTGTATCCAGTGTCCTGTTGTCCTTGCAACAAGTTACTGGCTATATGTGGTTTTAATGTGATGTTGCCATCCCCCCCCCCCCCCCCCCCCGTTTTTGTTGTTAAGACAGGGTTTCTCAGTGTAGCCCTGACTGTCCTGGAATTTATCTTATCAGGCTGTCCTCAAACTCACCAATCCACCTGCCTCTGTCTCCTTAGTGCTGGAATAAAAGGCTTGCACCACTATGCCTGGTGAGATGCTAATTTTAAAAACCACGTATGATGATGATCTATTATCTAGCTCATTCAGATACATTTCTCATGGTTTTCTTCTCTGCCAAGGCAGGGCCAGTGAGAGGTGACAGGCAGACACTTAATTTCTTGTCACGGTTTTAGTGAAAGGTAAGCAAAGGTGTTATCTGGAATCCAAGGGTGGCCCTTGTGTTAGCATGAGGCAGGAGCCTGGGGGATGGTCTAGAAGACATGATACCTGAGATTGCTCTTTAATAACTGTATCTGTATCTGTATTGTTCTGAAGGAACAATAGTTAGAAAGAATGGCCAGGTGTGGTGGTGTATGCCTTTAACCTTAGCGCTTGAGAGGCAGAGGCAGGTGGGTCTCTGAGTTCCAGGCCAGCCTGTTACACATAGCAAGCTCCAGGTCAGGCAGAGCCACACTACACAGTGAGTCCATGTCTCAAAAAGAAACAAAACAAAATAAGACAGGAGCTGGAGTTGTAGCTCAGTGGTAGAACTCTTACTTAGCATAAGCAAGGTCCTGGGTTTGATCTCTGGTTTGCACACCGAATAAGCAGAAGTTAGAAAGATGAAGTGGGACAGGGCAGGAAGGCAGAGAAGAAAATATTTTCTGCAAGGGCCAAATAGGTGCCAGACAAACAAAAGCCAACTTGTCTGGAACAAAATCCTGTGTAGGCCCTGATGTATTTATTCTATTACTTGCAATTATTGGTGATCTTTCCCTTTTTGAAAAAAGAGATACAATTCACATTCACGAGTTTCCCTTTTTTTGAAGTGTTTAGTATATTTACAAAGTCATGCGACTGTTGCCAGTTTCCATAACCCCACAGTGAAGCCCATATTCATTGGCAGTCCTTCCCCTGACTTTTCATTTTGAGGTCTCTATTGGCCCTTTGTAAAAGCCAATGGGTGATTTTCCTAGTTGGTTCTGAGAAGCCCAACACTTCAAAATCAGTTGCCAGAGAGACATGAGTGGATGCTAGTTGGGTGTAGTTCAAGTTTTGGGGGTAACAGGCTTTACCCAGTGTTTGGAGCCAAGTCCCTGCAGCCTGATCCCTGCATTTGGAGGGATCTTCTTCCAGGAATATGTTGTAATTTGCAGAGTCTAAGTCAGGCTCAAGAGCTGGTGACAGACATCTTTGGAGGTCACAAGTGACAAAAGGAGAAATGAGCTACAGTGGTTCTAGTATGGGCTGATGCCAGTCAATTCTGGAGAACCAGATGTTCTGGTGTCCAGAGATGCCTAGCCATGACTCTTGTGAGTCACAGAAACCTTTCCATGAGGCAAGGTCTTCAGTAACAGCAATGTGAGAGTGGTCTGAGTAAGTGGAGATACCTGAGACCCATGTGGAGTAAGACTAGGGACTGTCATTTCCTACCCAGAGGCCTCCAAGTAGGCACAGGTCTCCTAGGGTCTGTTGAAAGCTTCAGGTGACTTGCCCATGTCCTTTGAGTCCCCAAGTCTTGTGCACCATCTCGAATGGTAGCAGCAACCTTGTCACAGGAATTTCCTGCATTGTTAGAATGCTGTGCTCTTGCTTCTGGAGAAATGGAACCCCTGTAGCCCTGGCTGGGAAAGAAGAAGGTGACAAAAAAGAACCTCAGAGCATTGTCATTCAGCGGCTCCTGGGGACTTCTCTCTCACCTAGGTCCTCACACCTTCATGTCTAGATGTAGTTGGTATTTTACTCTTCCACTCTGCTATTTGGGTCTTTTTTCTGGGGGCGGGGGGGGGGCACCACCCAGCTCCCAGACAAAGCACACTCAGAGTCTCATTCTTGCTTAAGAATGCCTGGCCTTAGCTTGGTTGTTTCTAGCCAGTTTTTCTTAAATTATCTCATTTATCTTTTGTTTCTGGACTTTTATCTTTCTCTATTTCTATCTACCTTTCTTTACTTCTTTCTCCGTGGCTTGCTGTGTAGCTGGATGGCTGGCCCCTGGAGTCTTCCTTTCCTCCTTGATCTCTCTTTTTCTCCTTCTATTTATTCTCTCCATCTGCTGGCCCCACCTATCTTTTTCCTGCCTTGCTATTGGCCATTCAGCTCTTTATTAGACCAATCAGGTGTTTTAGACAGGCAAAGGAACACAGCTTCACAGAGTTAAACAAATGCAACAGAATGCATTGCATCTTTTTCATCATTCAACAAATGTTCCACAGCATAAGCAAACATGACACATCTTAAAATAATATTCCACAACACCTAGATCTCTGTACTTAACCATTTTCCAATCCATTTCTCCTTGCCCTTAGCCTAGGGCAGGAGCCTTTTTCTAAGAGATCCGTAGCTTCTTTGCTCCTGCTACTTGGTGTCTGAGCCTGTCCTGGCCTCAGCTCAACTGTGTCATCACACTAGGACTACCTGCTCTCTGTAGGGCACCACCCATTTGGCTTGTTTCTGCCTTAGGGTTTCCTCCAGGAACTTTTCCAAGGAGAAATGTAAAATAGTGTATTAAGTGTGGGGGAAAAAAGCATGATGTTTCCTCAGAAATTAAAAATAAAATTACTACTTGGTTCTGCAATTCATCTTCTGGACATTTGCCCCCAAAGTGGCATCTTAAAAAGCCATTTGTATAGCCATGTTCACAGCAGTATTGTTCATGACAGCCAAGGAACAAGTACTCCATCTGTTCATCTGCAGATGAAAGACAAAGACAGTGAACACCAGGGAGTGTTGTTCAGCTTTAAAAAGGAAGGAGGGGCACAGCAGGGCACATGCTTAGCATAAGAAATGGTCTAGATTCAATCCTAGCCCTCTCTGCCCCCCCCCCCCCAATTTTCAACATGCTGTGGTATGGATGAACTTTAAGGACGTGGTATTGAGGGAACATTCCAGTGAGGCACAAAACTGCCAGATTTATAGACAGGAATAGAATAGTGTTTGCCAGGGGATGGGAAGACGGGGACATGAGAGTGTTAGTATCTAATGGGCATAGAGCTTCACTTTTACAACATGAGAAGAGTCCCAAGGATGGCTGCTGGGGACTGTG